AGGAGGGTCCGAGCTAAATTGTGTAAAGCTATTACTTAACATCCACCTGACCTAGGCGGTGTCTCTGTGGAATTTACCTTAAATCAGGAGACTTGCATGTGGACTGTTATTACTGCTAGTCCTTGAAAGTGGCTAAGGGAGATATCTGATTCTAGAGGAAGTCTTTCCTGAGGCTGTTCTCCAAATACCTTGAATGTGTATGTCCAGAGAGTGATCAGTCCACACTATTAGCCCTTCTTAGGGAAAAGTCAATTGGGAAAACTATGAAGGCACATATGATTTTCATAACAGAAAACAGCTGATATATAACAAGCCAAAAGCTCCTTGGAATTTGGCTTCCTTTGGAGGAATTCCTTAATCCCTCCAGGTAGTGACTTTGCCATAACCAGCTGAGTTCTTATGATATATTCCTGCAGACCGCAGCAAAGTAATAAGTGAAAATACAGATATATTTTCTTAATAAAGGCAGAGGTTCCTGCTACATTTGCTGCATTAAAATGATTCTGATTTGGAGTGAGTGAGGTCATTTCTGCTCTTGGCTAGCAAACCCAGCCCTCCATCCGCCTGCCCTGGTAGGTAGCTGTGAGGTTCTTGGATTTGGGTTTGAGTGTGGAGAGTAGACTTGATGGAGGCTGCATTCCTACCAGAGACCTTTGAGCTGATGACATCTCCCAGCCTGAAAGAAGGCCAGTTTCTCCTTTGCTCAGCATGTTCTGACCAGCGTGTGTGTGTGTGTGTGTGTGTGTGTGTGTGTGTGTGTGTGTGTGTGTGTGTGTGTGTGTTGGCTAAGATTCCAGTTACCGCAAGGACAGGCATTGTCTTCTCTGGCTACACAATGAAGAGATACATGGGGTTTGCCCTAGAGACGAAGCTGGACCTGCCTCTGTTGCTTGACTTAGCTACCCAAGTCCTTGGGGACCTGAACAAGTCCCCTGTTAGCGTGGCCTCTGCTGACAGGCATGACTTCATGTCTGCATTTTTGTTGTTTTGTCTTTGTCCTTGTTGTTGTTGTTATTATTATTGTTTTTAGATGGAGTCTCACTATGTATCTCTGGCTGTCCTGGAACTCACTAAGTAGAGACCAGACTGGTCTTGCTTTCCAAGTGCTGGGATCAAAGGTGTAAGCCACTACACGGCTGTTTTTTGTTTGTTTGTTTTTGAGACATGGTCTCCTGTAGCCCAGGCTGGCCCCAGACTCACTGTTAAATAGCCAAGGATGACCTTGAACTTCTGATCCTCCTGCCTCCACCTCCTAGTGCTGGGATTATAGGCATGAGCTACTACCCACGGTTTGTGCAGTGCTGTGGCCTGAACCTGGGGCTTCCTGCTTGCTTGAAGCAAAGCCCTCATCCCGCTGAGCTGTATCCTCAGCCCAGGGTTGCCACCTGCACTTCCAGTCAAAGGCAGAGTCTCTCTTTCACGTTTTTTGTCTTAGCTCAGCTCTTTGCTTCCTCCGGGGAACTAAAGATCTAATCACAGCTTTGCTAACTTCCTTACTAGGGTGAATGCTGCCCAGGGGTCAGGGTTAGCTTTAACTTGTTCACCTCGTCCCTTTTTCAGAGCACTGTCATGTGACTGGTGTTCAACACACCACCAGTGGGTGCTAGGTGACCCTCAGCATGAAGGCAGGCGGCCAGTCCACTGGTCTCATTCTACTGCACACGTGGACAGCTGGAGACCAAGCCCTTGGGGGTTTCAGTCCCCCTGGAAGAATGGACTCAGCAGCGTAATGCTGGCTGGGGCTTGAATTTATCTACATACAAGTGAAGAGCTCTTCCCTGTCCAAAGGGAGGGCTGGCCTTTGCCCCCAGCTTCCAGAAAGTCCTGCCCAAGGGAAGGATTTTCATTTAGGGAGAGAGTTGGCCACACAGGATGAATCAACAATGTGGTTATGGGCTTTGACCCAAGCATAAGCAGCTGGACCTTGGAAGGTCTGGAGGACTGGTGTTGGCTTCACAGGCAGTGAGTAGGAAACCCCAATCCACACTCTAGGTAGCAAGGCAGGGGATGATGCTCTGTGTGAGTTGGCACATGGCAGAGTGGTGGGTGCCAGCTGGGACTCCGTCTGCAGAGGACAGTAGACAGCTCCATGGGGATCCTCTTGGCCTTGCCCACCCTACTCTTCTCTGGGTGGGTTTTTCCTGTGACTGTGAGGGTGGCAGAGGTCCCAATGAGTTCTTAAATATGAGGGTGACTTTGGGGATCCCTAGATTTGCAATTGGTGGCAGCACAGAGGGGTGTAGGTGTGGCCTGATAGACTGTTTCCCATTTTAACACCACTGTATTACCTCCATTATGGCAGCTCCCTGCTGCCATACCTCCATGCATATCACATGCTCACGTGCAAGAACACATGAGTGCACACATACACACACACTGACCAAGATGTCAGACCAGGCACTGTGCTGCATGTCTGGACCCCTCAGGCATCTCCGATAGAGGAGTTCATTGTTGCCCAGCGGCCTCTCCTACAATGCCTCACCCTCTGTCCCTGCAGGGACAGGACTTTCTTCCTGATCTTAGCAATGACAAGTAGGCAGGTAATAAATCAACCCAAGTGGGTTGGCTTCTGGGCACTCTGGAGGAAGGAGGCAGGAGACTGACCTTCAGGGCTTGCTATGGCATGCTCTAACTTCTTCCCCCAAATCCACAGGTCTAGCCTCTGTCTAAAGCCACCATTTCCCAGATGCAGGGCACACGTTGTGGAGCCCCGGACACAGCCCTTCTTGCCAGAGCCACCAGCCTCGGATGCCTTTCCAGGATCAAAAGTTTCAGGTTCAAGTCTAAACTTAGCAGCTCTGCCGCCTGGGGGTCAGAAAACAAGTTGGTCTGTGACTCTTACATAAGCAGGTCAGACCTCTGAGGCTCCCTCAGCCCCTCAGCTCCTCCCTGAAGTTTCCTGGTCACTGTGCCAAAGATGCTTCTGTCAAGGACACTTACCCTTCTCTCCACACACAAAGCCCCAAACACAAACTTTATAATTCTATCCAGTGAAGAGAGAGAAGAGAGAGAGAGAGAGAGAGAGAGAGAGAGAGAGAGAGAGAGAGAGAGAGAGAAAGAGAGAGAGAGAGAGAGAGCACTGAGTCTTGGGATGACTGCCATGTGATCCTGCCCAGCTTGAGGAAACTGGACCCCCTGCCCAGCCTGTAGAGGGAAACATAGAAGGCTGCTTGTTTCTAAAGCCTTCTATGAAAATTAAAACCACAAAGGCCCTAAGAGAGATACTAAGTCCCTGTGGTGGTTTGAATGAGAACGGCCCCCATAGACTCATATGTTTAAATACTTGGTCCCCAGTTAGTGGAACTATTTGGGAAGGATTAGGAGGCATGTCACTGGGGGTGGGCTTTAAGGTTTCAAAAGCTCACGCCTGGTCCAATGTCTCTCTCTGCCTGCTGCCTGTGGATCAGGATGTCAAGCTCTCAGCTACTGCTCCAGCACCATGCCTGTCTGCTTCCCACCATGATCAAAGACTAACCCTCTGGAACTGTAAACAATCCACAAATTAAATGCTTTCTTTTATAAGAGTTGCCTGTGTCCTAATGTCTCCTCACAGCAACAGAAAAGGAACTAAGGCAGCATCCTAGAGGAAAAGTTAGTTGAAAAAAAAAATCCCAATTTGAAGCCGAGCATGGTGGCTCATGTCCGTAATCCCAGTTCTCAGGGACTCAGGCAGGAAGATTGCAGAGAATTTTAAACCAGCCTAGGTTACATAGTGAGTTCCAGGCTAGCCTGGGCAGCAGAATAAGATGTTGTATTAAAAACAAACAAACAAACTGAGCACATGCCTATAATCCCAGCACTTGGGAGGTACAGGCAGGAGAATCAGGGGCCCAAGGTTCTCCTCAGCCACCACATGAGTCCCAGGCCAGCCTGGGCACCCTGTCTCCAAAAAAATATAAAATAACATAAAATAAAAAGTCCCAATTTCAATTTTGTGTTTTATTGCTGGTGATATTTTATTTTGGTTTGGTTTGGTTTTCTGAGATAGGATCTCACTATGTAGCCCTGGCTGGCTTAGAACTCACGGAATGGCTTTGAACCCACAGAGCTCTATCTGCTTCTGCCTCCAGGTTGCTGGAGTTAAAGGAGATTGCCACTGTACTGGGAAGAAGTCCCAACCTGGTGGAGAGAAATGGAGAGAAGTAGATTCTCAACAGGTTGCACCCCGGGAGTCCTGGAAGGAAGGCTGGGGGAGCTGCACATGGACCTTGGCCCACCTCAGGGGTCTCCACTCTGCTTGTGGAGTATCACCATCACTCACATTCTCCCCAAGCACCTTAAGGCACCCGAGAAGAGCAGGCCCAGAGAAAAGGGTGCACTTAGCAAGAGAAAAGGAAAGAAATCCAGATTGTGGCTGCTGTTCAGGACATGGTGCTTTAGCCTTTTGAGGCCTGTGGCCTGTAGCTCAGGTTGGCCTTTAGCTCAGGTTGGCCTCTAATTTGTGACAATCTTTCTGCCTCAAACTCTGAAGTACTAGGACTACAAGCATTGCTACCACACTCAACCTGTTTTTAAAAATATTCCAGAACTTCTTTCTCCTTTATTTTCTTTGGAAACAAGGCCCCTTCTGTATTCTAGGGTGGCTTTGAACTAGAGACTGTCCTGCCTCAGCCTCTCAAATATTGTGATCGCAGGCATGCATGACCATTCTGAGAACTTCAAGACATTCAAAAAAAATTAGGCTGGAAGTAGTGGTGCACACCTTTAATTCCATCACTTGGGAGACAGAGGCAGAGGCAGGTGGATCCCTGTGAGTTCAAGGCCAGCCTAGTCTACATAATAGAGAGATTGTCTCAAACAACAACAAAAATCACTTTTAAAAATGTGGCTATAGCTAGGTGGTGGTGGCACAGGCCTTTAATCACTTGGGAGGCAGATCCAGGAGGATCTCTGTGAGTTCGAGGCCAGCCTGGACTACAGAGTGAGTTCCAGGAAAGGCACAAAGCTACATAGAGAAACCTTGTCTTGAAAAAAAAAAAAAGTATTTGTTGTTCTTGCAGAAGACCCAGGTTCTGTTCCCAGCACCCACATGGTGGTTCACAACCGTCTACACCAGGGGATGTGGTCCAGCTCTGGCCTCTTTGGGCACTAGGTATGTACATTTATGTGTATGCAAGCAAAATACTCATACATATAAAATAAAAATAAATATTTTAAAATATTTAGTGTGTGTGTGTGTGTGTGCAGGTGTGTGTGCAGGTGTGTGTGTGTGTGCCTGTGCACACGCAGGTGTGTGTGAGCCACAGAGTAGAGATCAGAGATAACTTGCTGAAGTTGGCTGTGTCCTCTCCTTCCATCATGTGGGTCCCAGAGATTGAACTCGGGGTGTCAGGCTTGGAAGCAGGTGGTTTTACCTTCTGAGCCATCTCACTAGCCAAGAATGTGTTTCTGGGTTTTTGTTGTTGTTTTGGATTTTAAAGCCTGTGTGTAATCGTGCGTCTATGTGAATGTGCACATGAATACAGGTACCTTCCATGACCAGAAGAAGGCATCCGCTTCCTTGGAGCCAGAGTTACAAAAGGTTGTGAGCTGCCCAGAGTGGGTGCTAGGAACTGAACTTGGGGTCTCTGCAAGGGCAGTGCTCAATCTTAACTGCTGAGCCATCTTTCCTGGCCCAAGATAGTTTTATTTGCACTCATCTTTCAGTTCATTAGAACTGCTATAAACGACTGGGTAAGTTACAATAAAGAGAAACAGATGGCTCACAGCCATAGAAGCTGCCAGGTGTCATACCAGCACCTACAGGAGCTTCTGCATGCATCTTCCCGTAGTGGGGGACATCACATGATGGAGGGGTAAAGGTCGGGTGAGCAAGAGAGTGTAGCTCCTGCTACACTGGCATTAATCATCTCAAGAGGTCACAGTTCTCGTGACTTAGTGGCCTCTGTAGCCACCTTAGCAGTTAAGTTTCAACCTGACTTTTGGAAAGGACAAACAATGAACTATAACCTTTGTCTTAGTTACTTTTCTAGTGCTGTGAACAGACACCATCACCAAGGCAACTTATAAAAGGGGCTTGCTTACTATTTCAGTCCCTGACCATCACGACAGGGAGCACAGCAGCAGGCAGCCATATCACTGGGGGAGTAGCTGAGGGCTTACATCCTGTCCATAAACACATGGCAGAGAGAGAGAGACTGGGCCTGGCTATGGACTTTTGAAATCTCACATCCCACCCCCAGTGACACACCTCCTCTACCTAGGCCTACTTGTCCCCAAAAGTTCACCAACTAGGGACCAAGCATTCAAATATATGAGCCAAAGCCAGGCAGTGGTTCGCATGGCTTTAATCCCAGCACTCAGGAAGCAGAGGCAGGCAGATCTCTAAGTTCAAGGTCAGCTTTATTGTGGAATATTTAACTATGCAAAGATGTGTTGCATTTGTTTAACTATATAAAGATGTGTTGCTGTTTCACCTTGCCTGCCTAAGGCACCTGATTGGTCTAATAAAAAGCTGAATAGGCCGGGCGGTGGTGGCGCACGCCTTTAATCCCAGCACTCGGGAGGCAGAGCCAGGCGGATCTCTGTGAGTTCGAGGCCAGCCTGGACTACCAAGTGAGTTCCAGGAAAGGCGCAAAGCTACACAGAGAAACCCTGTCTCGAAAAACCAAAAAAAAAAAAAAAAAAAAAAAGCTGAATAGCCAATATTGAGGGAGGAGGCATAGACGGGACTTCTAGGCAGGGAGAGTAAGTAGGAGGAGGAGTTTAGGCTGGAGGAAGAAAGAAAAGGAGACACCAGGAAGATGCCAGTGGCCAGACAGACAGACATAGAGGAAGCAAGAAGCTAGGACATACAGAATGAAAGAAAGGTAAAAAAAAAGCTCGGAGGCAAAATGTAGATGAAGAGAAACAGGTTAAATTAAGTTAAAAGAGCTAGTGGGACAAGCCTAAGCTAAGGATGAGAATTCATAATTAATAATAAGTCTCTATGTCTTTATTTGGGAGCTGGCTGGCAACCCAAAGAAAATTCCAACTACAAGTCTGGTCTACAGAGTGAGTTCCAGGACAACCAGGGCTACATGGATAAATTGTGTCTCAAACACACACACACACACACACACACACACACACGCACGTACGCACGCACGCACGCACGCACGCACGCACGCACGCACGCTATTGGGGCTATCCTCATTCAAACCATCACAGCCCCGTATCTTCTTCAGGGTCTGGGCCCCGCATGTTAGGAGGAAGCACACCTGTGCCTGGATGTCTTTTTGCCCCTCAGCTTCTGTCTGTCTGTCCCTCCCTCGGAGGTCCTTCACTCACCTGGTTTTCAGTGTAAGCCTTGCTCTCCCAGCACTAAGAGCTGAGTCAGAATGGGATGTGGGAGAAGCAGACATTGCTGCCTCCCTTATGGACCTCATGATCAAAGGACGAGATGGACTTCACTCAAAATGCCATACAAATAACATGCAAAGACTGGTCATGGGGGGGAGGGCCTGGAGAGATGGCTCAATGGTTAAGAGCACTGACTGCTCTTCTAGAGGTCCTGAGTTCAATTCCCAGCATGGTGATGCACAACCATCTATAGTGGGATCTAGTGCCCTCTTCTGGAATAAAGGCGTACATGCAGATAGAGCACTCTTACATTAAATAAATAAATATATCTTGAAAAAAAAGACTGGTCATGGTGTCATGTGCCTGTAATCCAATCATTCTGGAGTACAGGAAAGATGATATGTAATTCAAGGTCATCTTTGACTACACAGAAAGGTTGAGACCTGGACTATGTGAGACCTTATCTTAAAAAAAAAAGGGGGGGGGCTAGCTGGGCATAGTGGCACCCACCTGAATCCCAGAACCTGAATCCCAGAACTTGAGAAGCAGAAAGAGGTGAATCTCTGTGAATTTGAGGCTAGCCTGGTCTACATAGCAAGTTCTATCCCAGTCAGTGTTATACAATTAGACCCTGTTTCAAGAAGAAAAAAAAAAAAATTAAAAAGAAGCTGCGGAGAGGATCCCAGCAGCCTCCCAACCCCATTTCCACCCAAACAGGGATGCTACAAGGTACGTAATCTATAGCGGTCCCATAGAAGATTCTAGGTCTAGCCAAACTCCCAGATGAATGCAGCCCCATTAACACTGCAGCCAGTATCACGGGAGACAAAAGTGCAGTCCCGGGGAAGCCTCTGGCTTAGATGCGAGTGGCCCAAAGACAAAGGTGGCCGTGGGTCGGACGGATTAGACGTGGCTTCAAGGACTGACGCTGTAGTTAGTTTACAGCTCCACTGAGCTGGAAGGGCTGGAGGACCGGTGGGTTCCAGCGAAGGTGGTGGCTATGGCCATTGACTGTGCCGTCCTCCTCATCTCCTTCCCTGATGCGAACACAACAGAGCCAAGCTTATAGTCAGAGATTCTAAGGAAGTAGGGTCCTAGTGCGCGACCACAGGAATAAGAGTTGAACCGAGACCAGGTTTCTTTTCAACATCGCTATTTGAGCAAGCATGATGTTAAAATGCCCTGTTTCTGCTGGCTCTTCTGCTTTCTACACATTCTGCCCTGCCTTCCTTGGGGCTCCCTGGCTGAGTCTTAGACAAAGGTCCTTACCAGGCGGCCCACCCCACCTAGAGACAACTTGCTTTCCCTCCTGGACTGATCATCCAAGAATGCACTTCCAGCCACTCACCAACAGGTGGCAGCACCCCCACAGGTTGATGACTTGGAAGCCAACGCAATCTCTTGAAAAGTAAATTCTCTCATTTCCCTTCAGGGAATCTGCACCAGTCAATATTTACTGATGAGGAAAGTGGGGATGGGGAGAAAATGATTCACAGCTGCAGCTCATCTTCATGCAAAGGTCTCAGCCCCACTGGAGTGTCTGATGGTTCCCTGACCCGGTCCCGAAGGAAATTCAATCCTTGCTTCTGGGGAGCACCCTGCAACCTTTAGGGGTATTTTTGATCCTCACAGGTTGGGAGTAGGAGGATGTCATAGTTAATCTTCATTGTCAGCTTGCCTGGGTACGGAATCACCTTGGAAACAGCCCAGTGCGTCTGTGAGGGCGGTTGCACGGAAGATTAGCAGAGGAGGGAAGCCCCTGCATGTGGGTGGTACCATCCCATGGCTGGGGTCTAAGACTGGATAAAAGAGGGGGAAGGGAGAGAGTCAGCTGATCGCCAGCATCCCTTCCCATGTCCTGCCTGCAGATCAGTGTGACCAGCCTCCTCTCACTCCCGCCACCAAGGCTTCCCCAGCACCGTGGACTGTACCCTCAAATCACTAGCCAGAATAAACCTTGTCTTCCTTCAGTCATCTGTGAGGGATTTCATCACAGCACTGGGAAAAATAGCTAAGATATTGGAGTCACTGGGGCCGTGGCCAGCGGAGCTGCCAAAGGGCTGCACAGAACAGACTTCCATGACAAAGAATTGTCTGTCCCATAATGGCAACAGTAATAAGACTGAGAGACATCGATTAATCAGACTCTCAAGAGCAGTGAACCGTGAAGTGCAGGAAAGGCCTTCCGCAGTCTCCCTTACCGTCAGCATCCCCACAGCCTTTCCTCAGAGCCACCTCCATGAGGAATCAGGGGACAGTGCTGAGCAGGAGGCACAGGCAGGCCTCTGCGCTGGACCCTGGAGGCTCCGGGCATGTCATAGTCCTCGCCTTCCTTCCAGGAGATCAGGCTACAGGGAGAGACAACATCTCTGTAAGGTGGAAGGTGTGGTAGTGGGGTCCACCGAAGGACTAAGACCGAATGACATCGAAGGGGCGGACTTTAACAAAGGTAATGGGGTGTGGGCAGGAGATGTGGGTGCTGGGAACCAAACTCGGCTTCTCTACAAGAGCAGCGAGCACTCCTAACTGTTACACCAGCTCTCCAGCCCCCTATATGTTCTATTTTTACATTGCTAGCGGTGCAGTGGGTGTGTTTGCACTAGCATCACCATGGAGACAGGATTGATGTGTTACATGTGATATACTACCTGTAGGCAACAGGATTTTTTTTTTTTTTTTGAGATCGGATTTCTCTATGTAGCCCTGGCTGACCTAAAACTTGCCTTGTAGACCAAACTGGCATCGAACTCAGAGATCCTCCTACCTCTGCCTCCTGAGTGCTGGGATTAAAGGCGTGTGCCACCACCGCCCGGCAGCAATAGGAATTCTTTATCTTGTTATCTTATGGGACCGATGTCGTGTATACTCAACTGTGTCCTCACATTGGAAAACAGGAGAGTCTATTCAGAAGCTCCTACAACAAGAGAAGATGTCACCTGCTGGCTTTGGAGAGGGAGGAGGAGAACACACAGCCGGAACTGCGGCTCCCAGGTTGGAGAAGACAACACATGGATATCCCCAAGAACCAGGGAGGAAGCTTGCCTGACAATGTCTTAGCTCTCGCCCAGGGAAGCCATTTCAGGCCTAGCTGGTAGCATTGTAAGTATTGTCTGGTTTTGGTGAGACAGGGTCTCATTCTGTAGCTGTGGCTGGGCTCCTACTCAGTATGTACACCAGAGGGGTGATCTTCCTGCTTCTGTCTCACGAGTGGTGGAATTGTGTGTTTGTACCAACATTCCCGTCTCAAACCAGTGTTTCTCTGAGTCACTAAATTTGTGGTGATTCAGAGCAGCATAAAGAAACAAGTGTGGAGCCGGGCGGTGGTGGCGCACGCCTTTAATCCCAGCACTCGGGATATAGAGGCAGGCAGATCTCTATGAGTTCGAGGCCAGCCTGGTCTACAGTGCAAGTCCAGGACAGCCAGGGCTACACAGAGAACCCTGTCTCGGGGGAGCAGGGCGGGGGGAAAGATCATTGATTATCTCAGCCTTCAAAAGGCTAAGGAGAAGACCACCAGTTACAGGCTAGCCTGGGCTACAAAATAAATCTCTCTCTCTCTCTCTCTCTCTCTCTCTCTCTCTCTCTCACACACACACACACACACACACACACACACACATGCACACTCACATGTTAACTCAAAGGACATTAGGCTAAAAATAAAGACACAAAACAATTGGGACTCAGTGAAACACTACAGACATTGATGTGAGGGTCAGTCATGGGCTCAGTGGGTTATCTGCACCATACTCCATTCTGGTGGTCAGTGCCTGCTCATCTGCAGGCCTCTGAGTCCTTAGGCAGTGAAGGGCGATTCCACACCAGGGAAGTAAAGCTCTTTGGAAGGCCCCTGGGGTGTCTCCCTCCAGCCCACTCACCCTTCCTTGCTAGTTTGCAGAGAAACAGAAAGCCAATGGATGGGTGCCTTAGTGACTCTGCAACCATGGTTTATGTTAATATCATCTGGGGAGTGCTACTGACGCTGGCCTTTACCCCAAAGACCATTTTGCCTTGACTGAGATTATCTGCATTTGTTGAAGCTCCCTCTGGCCAAGTCTATTGGAAGCTCGGTTGCTATGTGGAGACTTAGCCACCAGATGGAGCTAGAAGATGACCAAAGAGAAGGGATCCCTTCTTCCTGGTGCCAAAATGGTAAGAAACAGTGAGGTGGGAGTCCTCAGATTAAGGAAGGAAGCCCTGGCCTCTGGCCACTTGAAGTGGATGGGTGGGGGGGTGGTTGGTTGGTTGGTTGGTTAGTTGGTTGGTTGGTTGGTTGGTTGGTTGGTTGGTTGGTTGGTTGGTTGGTTGGTTTAGCTTTTTAAGATTTTTATTGGGGGCTGGAGAGATGGCTCAGAAGTTAAGAGCACTCACTGACTGTTCTTCCAGAGGAGTCTGGGGTTCAATTCCCAGCACATACATGACAGCTCACAACTGTCTGTAACTCCAGTTCCAGGGGACCTGACACTCTCACACAGACTTATAGGCAGGCAAAAACTAATGCACATAAAATAAAAATGAATTATTTTTTAAAAAATTTAATTATTACTATTTGTTTGTGGTGTGTGTGTGTGTGTGTGTGTGTGTGTGTGTGTGTGTGTGTGTGTGTGTGCTGAACCATCTCACCATCCCTATTTGGCTTTTTATGAGACAGGGTCTCATGTATTTCAGGCTGACCTCAAACTCACCATGTAGCCTCCATTCCCCCCAGTGCTGGGATTACAGGGGTGCTCCACCACTCCCCGCCCACTCAGGATTTTATGGGAGATGTCCACCCAGGAGTGTTTTCTAGATTGCTCAGTGGGGTGGGTAGGCTGCAGAGCCCTCTCCACCCAAAGCACCTTCCCACATACCTATGGTGGCCAGTGGAAAAGCAAATGGTACCAGCACAGCCCTTCCGGGGGCAGGAAAACTCCAAAACAAGGCCCAGAGGAGGGGTCCCCGCAAAGTCCACCTCATCTTTTGATCTTCTGATAGCAGCTCTGCATTGACTGTGTTAACTCTAAAATGAGAAACAGGCGTGCATTTCCTTAACTGGCCGAGGTCTAAGCCGGGAGGCCTGTGATTCTCTCTACACAATGTGCAAAATTAGGCATGTGCATCTTGCCCCAACAAGAGGGACTGTGGCTTTCACAAGAAGGATTAAGGAAGCGGAAAAGGCCAAAACACACTTGAGCTGAGCATGAACCACTGAGGTAGCCTTAAGCCTAACACTGCAGAAACTGAGGCAGGAGGAACAGGATGAGTTCAAGGCCACCCTGAGCTACATGGAAAGACCTATGTCAAATGGCTGGGGATGCAGCTCAGTTGGTGGAATGTTGGCCTAACATGCACGAAGCTCTGGGTTCGGACCCCAGCACTGCTTAAACTGGGCATGACAGTGCAAGACTTTGTTGCCAGCACTTGGATGGTGGAAGGCAAAGGATCAGATGTTCAAGTTCATCTCTGGCTACATAGTGAATTTCAGGTCAGTCCTGGTTCCTGGAGACTTCGTCTCAAAAACCAATCCCCCAAGGGCTGGCTGCCATTCAGGTTGCTGCATGGGCAGGAAGAAAAGAGGTAAATGCTGTAACTTTTCTTCTTTACTGCTATCAGGACCTGCACACCTCTGAGGAACAGTCACGGGTCCCTTAGGGGCATAGTCATGGAACACGGGTCCCAAGTACTGTGGCAGCCTCTTCTGACCAGTGGGGAGATGCAGGAGGAGGTTTGGGATGGGAGAGCCAGCCCTCTTGGCCTCAGGCCTGACAGTGCTTGCCCAAGGACCCAGGCCCTGCAGCTCAGGATCAGGGCTGAGCCTGCTAGCCTGGAAACTGGATCGCAGAGAAAAACAGACTTTGCTTAATGTCACCCAGCAAAGGGCCTCTTAGCCTTGCCTAGGATCCCAGCCTACTGCTTTCTCCATGTAACCCTGCCCTTGACCTCCACAAGGACCCCCCACCCCCCACCCCGCAGGTCAGAGCAATCCTGTAGGTGGGTGAGTCATTCCCTAAAGATTAGGGCCCACCCAGGGTGACCTTGCCAAACAGTCTTCTGGGGCTAGGCACCACCACCCTGGCCACCACACACCCCTTAGCCACCAACCCTGGAGCTCTGAGGTGACCCATTTCCCTCACTCTCTTCGGCAGCTTCAAAACAAACCAAAACACAGACCAACATCCTTTGTTTGTTTGGGGGATCAGAGTGAGGGAAAGCGCTCTGTGGGTTTTTATTTGAAAACAAGGCTGCTTAAGTGGGGAGCAGAAACCAGAGGCAAAGGGACAGGCTCTTTGCGGCCACATGCTTTCTGGATGAGTCAGGGCAGGGCTGGGGACCCAGCAACAAGGCTGTCTGCTCACCACTTTTGGGGACTGGGGTCACAGCCACCCCCACTCGCCCTAGGTAATGTGAATTGGGGGTGGCTAGGCCCAGAGAGGGGCAGGTTTCCCATTTAATGGCCCCAGACTTCCTAACCATAGGTGGGGTGGATGGGGTTGGTTCAGGCCCCTAGTGCAAATTCATGTCCACCCCTTAGCTCCCAGGCCCAGGCTAGGTGTGCAGGGCCTGGTGCTCTGCCCCAAGGGAGAGACGAGAGCCCATCTAGGACAGGCTGCCTCTGGAGTGTGCAGTCAGGCCCTGCCCACCAGCCTGTTGGATCTGGGCTTCCTGGTGAAACTGGAATCCCTGAGGTACCTGCTGCCTCCAGGAGGGTGCACCCAGTAGGTCAGAGACCAGAGCACTCCTCTGGGGGCTCCCATGGTCTACACACAGTGCGTGGGTGTGGGAGACAGGCTGGTGGGGACTGCTTATCAACAGAGTTCATCGGCATCTGTGAACAGCAGAGTCTGAAGGGTAGTGACAGGCTGTGGAGTGGTACCCCAACACCGCCTGAACAAGTGGCAGCTCCCAGCTGATTCCAGGCCTCGCTGATAGTTTTTGATGCACCATCTCCATTGAGTTTCCCACCTAGCTAAGCTGGAGAAGGTGAGGCCACTGCGGTTCAGAAAGGCAAAGGGAGTTATTGAAGGACACACAGCCAGCCAGCCTCAGACACAAGGCTAAGGCCAGCTCAGCACTGGACCACTTCCGGGGCCAGGAAGTAGCTCCTGCCTGGTGGACTACAGAGGACTCTCACCAACACCCCTTACTCTGCTGGCCCAGGATGGGGGTGGGTAGGCTTTTGTTACAGGCCTCCATTTTCTGAAGCCACCATGGTTCAGTTCCATTCTCCTCTAATCTCATCTAATCGTCCCTGCATCCCTGAAGGGAGATACCTTCATCAGCCCGTTTCAGAGCTGACAAAGCCAGAGCGGCAGGTGGGTGAGATGGCTCAGAGGAGAAAGGCGTTTGCTGCCCAAGCCTGGTGTCTTGAATTTGATTCCCGAGACCCACATAAAGGTAGAAGGAGATAAACAACTCCACAAAACTGTCTTCTCAGCTGTGAGGTGGTGGCACATGCCTTTAATCCCAGCACTCAGGAGGCAGAGGCAGGGGGATCTCTGTGAATTCGAGGCCAGCCTGGGCTACAAAGCCCATTCCAGGACAGCTAGAAGAAACCCTGTCTCGAAAAACAAAAACAAACAACAAAAAAAAATTGTCTTCTGACCTCCACCCATGTGCCATGGCATGTGTGCTTCCTGACACACAATAACATGTAAAAGAAAAAGAAAAAAAATCTAAAAAGGCTAAAGCAGCAGGATGGTGCCTTTCCAACCGCAAAGCAGGGGCTCTCTGCCTCCCACCCTGTCTCTTCATTATGTTGACATGCCAGATTCCTGCCCCTTCCCTTCTGTGAGCCTGGCTCTAGGATTGATGTGAGTTGTACTTTGGGACCTAAGCTACCAGGCTCACCCCCTCTTGCTGGGGTGACTTTTGCAGGGGGGGCTCTGCTCCTTCCTACCCTCACGCAGCTTCCATCACACAGGTGTGTGTTAACGGCCCCACCAACCGCAGCCGGCCGACATCCGGGGGCCTGCTCTCCACCAGCGGGAGACCTGAGGCACTCTTCTTGCCTATGTCCTCAGCTGTTGGGCACACAGAGAAGCCCCAGGTGTCTGAATCCACAAAGCCTTCCAAGGCCGTGTTCAGCTGGTTGACATCTTAGCTCCTACAATGCACACAGAGTCACCTCTCTTCCTCAGCTCACAGCTCTGTGACACAAGAGTGTGCATGGCTGTGTGCATCTCTGTTACACAACTATCTGTATAGTTACGTGTGCACCGTTTTGTGTGTATACATGGTCTGTGCAGGTTGTGTGCACCTCCCCAGCTGTATGTGGGTTTTTTTAATTTATTTATTCTTATTTTATGTGCATTGGTGTTTTGCCTGCATGTATGTCTGTGTGAGGGTGTCAGATCTTGGAGTTACAGACAGTTGTGAGCTGCCATGTGGGTGCTGGGAATTGAACCTGGATCCTCTGGAAGAGCAGTCTGTGCTCTTAACCACTGAGCCATCTCTCTGCCCCCGGTTTTTTTGTTTTTGTTTTTGTTTTCCAAGATTCAGTTTCTCTGTGTAACCCTGACTGTCCTGGAACTCACTCTGTAGACCAGACCAGCCTCAAACTCAGAGATCCACCTGCCTCTGCCTCCCCAGTGCTGGGATTAAAGAGTACCACCACTGCCCGGCTTGTATGTGTTTTCATGTGTGTGAACTCCATGTGTGTACCTGAGCTCTGCTAGTGTGCGTGTGTAGAAGTAACTGGGGTCCACACTGCATCCCATCAGGGACTCTTCCATCCACCCAGTCCACACCGCTTCCCTAGGCACTGTGCAGGATCTAAGCACACAGAGGGACCAGCCTCATAGGTCTCTGAGTCCTTGTGAGCTCACCTTCCTGGGAGCTCAGCCCAGCTGTTCTAGACAGGTGGCTAGACCCAGACTGGAGGGCAGTTGGGGCTTCGGTGAATTGCTGCCAGGACCAGGAAGGGTCCAGCATCTCCCAACAAAGTCCACCCTGCAAAGCCCTGTGCCTTGTCCCCTTCAGTCAGATCACAGACCAAACCCCCCACGAAGCCCACAGTGAGTAAAACTACAGGTTCTAACGAGCAGGATGGCACACCACGAAAAGGCATTTGCCACCAAGCCCGACAGTCTGAGTTCCCTCCCGGGGAGCCACATGGTAGAAGCAGGGAACAGATTTCTGCAAGTTGTCCTCTGACCTACACATGTGTACCATGACATATGCTACCCCCATCAGATGTATACGCAAGCATGTGTGTGTGTGTGCGCATTTGTGTATAGCCCAGGGTGTTGGCTTCACATCCTGCCGTAACAAGAGGACCAAGGTGCCAGCAGAGCAGTGG